CTATTTGATGTCGCCGTCCTCGTTGTCCCACGGCAGGATGCTGTTCATGTTGCCGACGTCGTCCGTGGCGCGCTTCTTCATCTTCTGGCTGGCCACGGACGTCTTGGGGCGCTCCTTCTTCTCCTTGGCCCGGACCTCCTCGCGCGTGGAGTCGGCGCCCGACTGGAGGCCCACGTCGAAGTCGTCCTTGGTCTCCGCCTCGACGCTCTCCTCCGAGCTGCCCGACGGCGCCACCTTGTTCTTGCTACTGCGCCGGGGCTTCGAGGCCCACTTCTCGCCCGAGGCGTCCTCCTCCGGCGGCGACGCGTCGGCCTCGAGGCTTGCTTTGCCCTTAGCTTCCTTGGCGGCGGCGCCCTCGGACGGCGGCGCGGCGCCGAGGACCTTGGCGTCCCCGACCTTGGCGCCCTTGGCCTTCTGGGCACCGAAGCCGTCGTCGAACGTCATGGTGAAGCGCGAGGGCGTCTTGCGCGCCGAGCCGATGCGCCGCATCTTGGCAGACGGCAGCCGCGGCCGCGCGAGGGCGTTCACGTCGACGGGCGGCTGCGGCGGCGGCTTCGTGGGTTTGGCCGCCGCGGGGCCCACGGGCGCCGGCGGGGCCACGACGGGGGCGGCCGTGACTGTCTCCGCCTGGATGACGATCCTGGGCTGCGCCAGGCGGCGCGACGCCAGCATATCGGCGTCGTCGGAGTCGTCGGACTCGTGGCCGCCCAGCGCCGCCGCCAGCAGCAGCTCCTCGTCGTCGATGAAGGCGGGGTTGTCGAAGCCGTCCTCGGGCTTCTTCTTCTTCTTCTTCTTCTCGGGCGCGGCCTGGGACGCGGAGCCGGGCGCCCCTGGGGCTCCATTCGGGGGCGCCGCCCCTCCGGGCCCCTTGGCCTTGAGCGGGTCGTCGTCGACGCCGTCGCCGGAGAAGTCGAGGTCGTGCGTGAAGGCCAGCTGGTCGATGGCGCCGCTGAAGGCGCCGAAGCCGTTGTCGGGGATGCCGTCGCCGTCCATGTCGGCCGCGAACATGGCCTGGTTGAGCGCGTCGCCCATGATGTCGACGCCGCTGCCGCCGCCGCCTACGCCCGTGATGCCGTACATGCCCGGCCCGCCCTTCTTCTTGGTTGGCCTGGGGGGGAGGGGGTTTATAATGACACTTTTATTTGCATTTGGCGAGAAGGCCTTGACGCAGGCACAGCTGACGGTCTCTGATCTAGTTCAAGCACACAAAGAGATAGAGAAAGGCTCTTGTCTCTTCCCTCGCCAGTGCATGAGGACAAGTGCAAGGCAAAAAGTTTAATATCGAAGAAATACAGTTTCTAGAAGAGATTTCTAGAATCAAGAAGTAAAGAATAGTCAGCGGAAGATGCTTAGCAGAGAAGAAAGGCAAGCAAACAAGCTACAACTTCATTTGCATAACGAAACACAGATAACGGTAGAGAGCAAAGGGAAGCACACACACACATATACATACATACATACAAGTCTATTGAAATATGGCAATATAGATAACAACAATCGAATTAAGCAACTTAAGATACAAGAAGCTACACACAAATCCATAAAACAGCTAAAAAGCTATAAGCAAATAAAGCAAAGAACAAACGTATGATATGAAAGTATAACCAGCAAACAAATAAGCAGGCTATGGAACAATCACCAACAAACAAACCGACAAAAACAATCACAAACAAACCAATAAAAATAATCACCAACAAACAAATCGACAGAGACAATTACAAACAAACAGATAAACACACTAACAGGCAAACACCAGCAAACAAACACGCAAGTATACAATGACAACAAACGCTGATATAAATAATCACCAACAAATCACACACAAATACACAACCGAACAAAAACACAAAGGTAAAAAAAAAACACTCATTTACAAACACAACCAAAAAATGATAAGAAACACACAAACTCAAATAGCAATAGCAAGACACACGCATCAACAAACAAAGATAATGGTAAAAAAATACTCACAAACAAACAATGATAAAAAAATCACGTACAAACAAATACAATACTAAAAAACTCAAAACTGCAAAAAACGTACAAACAAACACAATAGTAAAAATAATCACGAACAAACAAAAACAATAATAGAAAAGTTCACATACAAACAAACGCAATACAAAAAAGTACAAACAAACACAATAAAAAAACTCCCGTACAAACAAACACAATAATACAAATAACGCACAAACAAAAACAGAAAAACTCACGTGCAAACAAACACAATAATACAAAACACTCACGCACAAGCACAACAACAAACACAACCACACACACACACGCACATACAAAAATTTTACAGACAAATGCAACAGCCCAGAATATCCAGCGCTAATGGCCCATACTCAGATATTTTCCGAGAGAATAAATTCGTATAGATTTATTTACATTTATGAGGTTAATATTTTGGCTCAAAACAATGTATATCGATATTCATAAAGGGATGGAAAGAGAAAGGATATGTTTGACAATAATTGATGTTGATAGTGATGTTGAT